CAGGGAAGCCCATTAAGTCACTTTTAATGGAAAATTCATCCAAGGGATGAATGTCCCCCAATAGATGCTGTGCATGAACTACCAGTCAGCTGTTTTAACAACTTCTTCCCCATTTTACCCTCTGACATTGGTCAATATTTCCTTGCCATGTATTTCTCTGGTATCTTTAATCTTACAACATTTTCTACAATGATTTCTGCAAAGAAAAAACCTGTGAAGACCCTAATGACTACCAGGATTTGAACCATTCTCTACAAAGCTTATTAATAACTCAGTAGAAATGTTATCTAATTTCTCTTTTTCACATCATGTTTCGAAAGCTATCTAAACTCCCCTCTCAGTGAGCTGCTTTTTGTTTCCTCCCCCTGTCTTTTCTCCTGTTGATGCCCCCATTCTTTTGTATGTCAAAAACATCATGCAGTACTATTCTTGGTAACTGAACAAAGTAATCAGATACTGCCTCCTGAATATTCTCTTGGCTTCCCAATAACAAGATTATATAAAGTGCTCAAGAAGGAGGAGTTGCTGATTTCCACATCTGTTCTTATCTTTGCCAATAGCATTAAATTATATTGTTATCATAAAGCCAGTCTAAGTTGACTTGCATGCATAACATGCCTACTGTTTTAGAGAACTGTTCTACTTGAGGGTTGGGGTGATGACAGGGGATTACCTCTCTTGAGATAGATAAACTGCAGCCGTGCTCTTACTCACTGTAGTAGTTTAGTTGTTGTATCACCTAGAAGCATCTGTTCACAGCCTCTTAGGGATCTATCATCGACCCAAGTAATCCTTTCTACTCAGTTGTATGTAAAATAAGTGATAGTATCCTCCTGATTGTTTATCCATACCAGTAATGATTTCACCAGCATTTTCTGGGATGTCTCTCAAAAATGTCCTCTTTCACAAAATATTCTCAGCACTCATTCCTCTGACCATGTCCTCCTCCGTTTGTATCATCTTTGGGGGTAACCCCAGGCTTTAAGTTCATTACTTTCTTAATGGATACTTCATCTTCCCAGGCAGCCATATAAGCATAAGAAGGCCTTCCAGTGAGAGGAAAAACTGTTCTTCTGGTCCTTTCTCTTGCCATCATCTCTTCTCTGAAAAGACTGGCATTTTTTCAGAAATGCTAGTAACTGCCAGATAGTGTAATTTTTTACTCTCTTCCTCTCTGCCTGCTGCTGCCTATCAGGCCAGTAGCTACTTTCTCTGAATCTCAGTTTTGCCACTTCATACCAAGGATGAGTAGGCAACTATCCCAGGATTAGATCCTCCTCTTATTTTTCAGTCTCCTTTTTCTGGCTAAAAAGTGCCTCAGCCTTTTTGATTCATGGATCTGTATGAGTCCTCCTCACAGCACTACTCTGAGACAAAATATTTTCAAATCAGACACACAGAAACCTGATTACCCAGGATTACCCAGAGAGATTATCCAGCATTAAGCTTTATTAATAATTTCAATGATACAGGCAATCAAGAGACTCAGAAAAAGCAGGGAGCAATCTGGTACATAGAGCAGGACTCCTTACTGTGGAAGTTAATAACCTATGCACCTTACTTAGAGGCCTGTCTACTCTAGGCCAGAGTGTGCATGTCTAATACAGGGAAGGGAATAAAGAAGTTGCTTTTCATGTCCCAGACTTCTTGATTAGTCTGGACCTCTTAATTGCCCGTATTTTTGAAATTATTTGTGAAGCCTGACACTGGGTAAAATCTCTGGCTTATGTGAGTCAGATTTGACAGTCTGATCCTTATTCACTCACCGAGATATGTCCATTCTCTTTTCTCATTACTTCCTATTGGGACACAGAAATGCTGTTTTGTTTACATATTGTCTGAGAGCTGACCCTAAAATTCATATGGAAAACACAAATGGCCTAGAATATCCAAAAGAATTTTAAAAGAAGAATAAAGTTAAAGGACATACACTGTCAGACTTCATGACTTGATTTAAAGCTATAAAAATCAAGAAACTGTTGTATTAGCATAAGGATATGCATCTAAATCTTGGGGCAGAATTGGAAGTTCAGAAATAAGCTTACACATTATGTTTAATTGATTTTTGACAAAGATTCTGAAGTAATTCCATGGGTTGATAATACTTTTTCTTCAACAAAGTTGAAACTATCACTTGTGATAGTTTTTCCAGCAAAGTTTTTTCATTATATATGAAAATAATGATCATGATGCCATATTGGAAAAAATAACTTAAAATGGAAACTAAAAAAAATTTAGAAGAAAACATAGGTGAAAATATTTGATGTAGGCAAAAATTTCTTAGATATGTCACCAAAAGCATGAACCACAGAAGAAAAATATGATAAATTGGTTTTTATCAAAATTAAAAACTTTAGCTCTTCAAACATATCATTAAAAAAATGAAAAAGCCACAGGATGGAAGAAAATATTCGCTGTACTTAAATCCATCAGGGTTTTTATCCAGAAGATGTAAAGAACTCTTAAATTTCAATAATAAGAATACAACTGAGCCAATTTTTTAAATGGGCAAAAAATTTGAACAAAAGATGATAGGGGAATATGGCCAGTAAGCATATAGAAAAAATACTTGGTCATTAGGAAAATGCAACTTTTAACCATGATGAGATCTTATCACACAGTTAAAATTTAAAAGATCAGCAATACTAAGATGACTAGGTTGTGAAGCTATAGAGAAAACCATAATTCAAAAAGACACATACACCCCAGTGTTCATTGCAGCACTATTTACAATAGCCAGGTCATGGAAGCAACCTAAATGCCCATTGACAGATGAAGGGATAAAGAAGATGTGGTACATACATACAGTGGAATATTACTCAGCCCTAAAAAGGAACGAAATTGGGTCATTTGTAGAGACATGGATGGATCTACAGACTGTTATACAGAGTGAAGTAGGTCAGAAAGAGAAAAACAAATATCGTATATTAACGCATATATGTGGAACCTAGAAAAATGGTACAGATGAACCTTTTTGCAGGGCAGAAATTGAGACACAGATGTAGAAAACAAACGTATGGACACCAAGTGGGGAAAGCAGCGGAGGGGGTGGGGGTGTGTGCTGAATTGGGCGATTGGGATTGACATGTACACACTGATGTGTATAAGATTGATGACTAATAAGAACCTGCTGTATAAAAAAATAAATAAAATTAAATTAAAAAATTAAAAAAGGAATGCTCATATATTGCTTGTTGGAATGTAAAATTGTATATGAACTTTGTAAAGCAAAATCGCAGTTTCCTAAAAAGTTCTATCACTTCCATTTAACAGAGCAGTTCTTGTACATAAATGTTAATAGCAGCCTTATTCATTATAGTACAAAGCTGGAATAATCCAGAATTCCATCCCCACGTGTGTGGGTGAATGAAAGTGTTTTATTTATACAGTGGAATACTACTCAACAATACCTAGGAATGGAACTACTGATATACAGAAACATATGCATGAATCTAAAAAGTATGCTTTTTGAAAGAAACCAGACACAAAGGGGTACATTCAGTATGAATCCATTTATGTAAAACTCTACAAAGTAACAGACTTTTTTAAAAAAATAAATTTATTTATTTATGGCTGCCGTTGGGTCTTTGTTGCAGCGCGCGGGCTTTCTCTAGTTGGCGGCGAGCGGGGGCTACTCTTTGTTGCAGTGCGTGGGCTTCTCACTGAGGTGGCTTCTCTTGTTGTGGAGCACAGGCTCTAAGCACACAGGCTTCAGTAGTTGTGGCTCGTGGACTCTAGAGCTCAGTCTCAGTAGTCGTGGTACACAGGCTTAGTTGCTCGGTGGCATGTGGCATCTTCCCAGACCAGGGCTCAAACCCATGTCCCCTGCATTGGCAGGCAGATTCTTAACCACTGCGCCACCAGGGAAGTCCCCAAAATACAAATTTTAATATGTAGTAAAAGAAAGAAATCAGTGCTTGCCTGTGGATGGGAGGATTTTCTGGAAGGAGCCCTAATGAATCTTCGTAAGAAAATAGAAATGTCTATATATTGATAGTTGTGGTGGTGGTCACCCAAGTATATCTGTTTTCTTTTTAATTCAACAAAATTTACCCTTAAAATGCATTTAATCTTACGTATATAATACCTCAATGAAATTTGGGTGGAAAATCCCTCCTTTGTTAGCAGAAGAAATCCTTTATAATTCAGATGTACATCCTTTGAAGGTTGCGAGTTTATTTAATTAGATACAAGCTTAGTAGCTTGCTTTTAGCTTTTTGGAATTATCTCTTTAACTCTGTTGTTCATTTGAAATTTTAAAAGGAGGGGGTGAAAAATATGTGCTAATCTAGTGATCAAGCATGTAAAAATATCTAATGAATGGTATTGGACAAGGTTAAATTATTTATGATGGGAGGAGAATATCAAGTTTTACACAGCATACGGTATTTTGTTATTCATGATAATACGTTACCATTATATAGGGCTTGAGGATGTGTACATAGCTTTCACAAATATTTCATCCTCATAATAGGCTGTGAAGTAGTTAGGGAAGGTATCATCTTTCTGTTTTATACATGAACACACAGGCTCAGTGAGATTGTTACATAATTTGGTGAAGATCACTTACCTGACAAGTGCTAGAGGACCTGGAAATCAGTGTAAGAGCTCTGGCCCTAACTGTCTCTCCACTGTGACACACTACTTCCCTTTAAAATACACTTTTGTTGTCTGGTCTGTCTGTCTCCACCTCTCCCTTTAAAAAAAAAAAAAGACCCATTAACTTTATTGACATGTATTTTGACTAGAATTCGGGTTTCTTTTCATGCTGTAGTTTTAAACGCTGGTTTAGTTGTATTATTGTATTAACCAGAAACATTCTGGGGGGTTCATGATGTGACCAAAAAGCAATTACAATGCCTAGAGAATAAATAAACTTTGAAAAAACATACCTTTGGGTTCCATAAATTAAAATGAACGGTTGCCAAGAAATTATGTAATTTGACTAGTTTTCAGAATCTGTTTAACATACTAATTTAATTCATCATGACAATTTTCAGACTAAATAAACTTGAAGATACTATTATGCTAATTAAAGGAAAAATCGAAGAAGTTCGTCTTCCTGTAGAAAAAGTGGACGTTATTATATCCGAGTGGATGGTAAGTGTTTGCAGAGAAAACTACTTTTATTAATTTTTTAAAAAGGCAATGAATAAAGTAGCAGGTTTTCTGCGTTTAATTATATTTGATAAATGGCAAAATGGTAGCATTATTTTAAAAACAGCTAGTCTTTTTATGGTAGTTTATTCTGAAATGGCACTTATTTACTGTCCATTTATAATTTTTTAAAGAAGAGGGTAAATTAGCCTTTTTGCTTTTAAAGTCATAATAAAGAATTATTATTTTTCTACTTTCTAGATTTGTAGAGACCTAAATATGTTTTCTAAAAGCCTATAAGGACTAGTTAAGGATTTCCTAAGACTATTTATGTCAGAATAATGTGATGTTGCCACTGTTGTTGTCATACTTAATATCCTGTCTTTCTGATCTGTTAGGTCATGTAATCCGTGTCCTTTATCACATAAAATAGGATTTATTCGCATTATTAAGATAATAAAATTAAGGTACAATATATAGCTTTATAATTTGCTTTTGAAACCACAGATCAAGACTAGAGTATTTATTTTAAAGAGTCTGTAAAGTAAAACTAATGGTATTGTCAACTGATTTAACTCACTGATATGCCACTTCAATTAAGACAAGTATATATTATTTTCCAGATATACGAAGATTTTTTTTTTAACCATTTGGAAGTTGTTAAGCTTTTTTTAAAGAAAAGTATTTGATAACATGTATTTTCATTAAATGAATTTATCAAAACTTCTCGAAAAGAATGAGTTTTGCTTTATAATTTTCTATAAATTTTGAATAAACATAGAAAATAATAATTCTAGCAAAATTGCACTGACTTCAGGGAGCTTTTGAAATGTTCAGTTTTAATGTAGTGGTTTTAATTTAGACCCATTGACAGTCACTGTTGTTGGCAGTTACTCTTTTGCATGTGAAACAGTGTGTTGATTTTTTCATGCTAGGCTTGGCTTTTAACAATTCTTGATCACAATATCATTATTCTTCTTATGCCAAATAATTTGTATCAGCACCCTGATTTCCCTTATGAATTGAGTGAGAAGGAATGAATTTAGTTAGTATAATTAAAAATTCAGCATCTTTTTAAAGACTACAAAAAGGTGTTTTGGAGAAAGTACATTTGAGGCATCTGCTTGGCAACAACTTTAAGTAGTTTATACTAAATGTTGGCTGACATAATCCTCATTTCTCTAGGGACCATTTTATTTTTCTTGGAAAATGCATCTTTAAAATTACCCCGAATTACACTTGAAGCAAACTAAAAGATAGACTTCACTAAACTTCCTGTTACCTCAGTTAACTAGCTGGGTAGTTCTTGCCCTGCCTAGCAGAATTATCCTTCTGGGTAGTGATGTTCTAGGAATTTTCATTTCAGAACTTGAAATGTGGTCTAGAAATATTAATATGCAATTGAAATCTTAGAGCCAGTTGGTATAATAATAAATGATAACTTAGCTAGGTTGAGTGAATTTATGAGATTGTTACAATTATGATGTGAACTTTACTGGAAGGTATGCTGGTCTTGGGCTTATTTTGCCCTCAGATCCATTTGACATCCTTCTTTTTTCTTCTGTCTGATTGGAGAAGGGCAGCAGTGCTTTTTCGTTTTGTTCCTCTAACTCTTGTAGTTAGACTCTAATTGATGTAAAGGACACCTTTCATTTTGGAGGATTAGTCAGGCATGATCTCTGCCTTTATCGGGAAGGCAGTGTCACAGAAACAATACTGAGTCACTGGAACCTGAGATGAAAGGGGTCAGTTGTTTGGAACCAAGGTGCTTTCAGAAACCCTTCAGTAAGGGAAACAAATATGTGTGTCCAGGAAGTGGTAACTAAGAACTTTCTTTCTTCCTCTTCACAAAGGTGTAGCTTAAGAGTTTGCATTATCTTACTATCTGCCTTTTCCTTGTAAGCATCAGTGAGGTTGGAGTCTAGCAGATTGTGTTAAACGTGTTAGGTGGAGCATTAGACACTGTAATTTATGGCAGTTACCGAATCATCTTTGTGGCTTGGCAGTATCATTTATAGTATCTTCTATAAGTAAGCCCCCTCCTAACTTTGGTACTTCTACTCGGATTTCTGAGCTGAGAAGCTGGAAAATTCTAATTACATAATTAAACAAGGAGAAGGTATGCTTCCTAAAATATATTCAAGATTTTTTTCAGATATTCCTACTTTGGCTTAAACAATGGGCAAGTGGCAAACAACTTACTATTCTAAATTTATTTTAAAGCCACATTTTCATGAAGCAGCATTTAAAATTAAAATACCTTGCATAGAATCCTCTGTCTTTGATTTTTTTTTTTTACATCAGTCAGGATGCAAAAATCTAGAATAATCCAAGTTCAAGCTATAGCATAGACTTTTTTCTCTTTTTAAAAGCATTTTCAACAAGGAAGGGCCAAAAAAAGAAAATACCCTGCAGTATTGAACACAGATGTTTAATGGATGTGTAATCCAGTATAGCAATGTAGGCATCATATATTGCAGAGATGTACATCTGTTTTCTTCTACTATGATCCACTAACTGATCCATGGCTTAATCTAGATACGTTTTTTGTCTACAGCTGTTCATGAACTTTGCTTTTATTTTGGAAGATGTTCTTAGATAAGAATGTAATTTTAAAAGCCAAATCATTGCTGTTAGCATGTCAGTTTAATAAACTATCACTTGTCTCTTAGATATATGCATTTCTACATTTAGATTTGCATTTAATTTTACATTTTCATTTTCATTGAATGAAATTTCTATTTGATAAAATTGTTATAATTTAAATAAAAAGAGTTTAATTTCTATAGGATGTTAATTTTCATGCCTATGAGTATCTGTTCTCATTTTTTACATTTTACTGTACCAACAGAGCCATTCTTTATGACTTCCCATTTCTGATCACCTAATAAAACTTCAAAGTAAGCATCCCTAATTCTTGTCCTGTGAGCCAGTAAAGCCAGGTTGACTCATTTGGTGTTGCTCTTTTCCGTCTAAGTTTTCAGCATGACCTCCTTACAAATAGATAGATAAGATCCTGGCATTGCATGATACAACTGCCAGAGGTGATTCTTGTTTGGACATGTTATTTTCTGTCATCAGGACCGTCAGGAAAATTATACATTAGGTGAATTTACATTGTCATGATCACTTATAATATACATTCAGGTTGTCTAAAGTCCTTTGTAATTTTTCTGTCTAGGCTTGCTCTTCACAGAAGTGACCTAAAATTTTGTCACCTTTCCCATCCCATTTTCACCAACACAAGTGTGTCTGTATAGTGCATGCATGCAGAGGCCCACACCCACAATGATGGGGTATTCTTTGTTCATATTTAATATTCTTTATTGTTTGTAAATAGCTTTTCAGGATTTTATAGTTTTTATCACTTAGAAACATGACTTGTGATTTGGTTTATCAACAGTCCAGAAACTGGGCCGTGAAGCCTGTCATAGGTCACATTTTCAACTGGTGCATGTTGAAATGTCTTTGTTGGTTTTAGTTTGGTCTGGCAGTGAAACCATGCCATTTCAGACAACTGCCACAAGGATTAGGTGGCCTTTCCCAGTCTTTCTTGCCTTAAATGATATAATAATAATTATGTAAGTAGTTCAGTAAATTAGATAAGTTGAATTAATCTTAGAGCTAGGGAAAGTATTGGAGATTAATTAACAACACAAATTTTCAGTTGTACAGGTGTGTTTTTGCCTTTCCTGTCCATACCAAGAAATATGCTTATGACCTGAATTTAAGGATTTTTTTAAACTCTTCTATTTTTCCTCTTTTATATTTATTACTGCGAAAATTTTAAGCGAAATAAAACTGTACATGTCTAGTATGTGTTGTTTTGTCTACTTAAAAGTAGACATAATCTCATATGTCCAGTGGTTCAAGATAAGGAAATGTAAGACATAACTTTCCCTCAACTCTATACCTCTTGCCATTTTTTTTCTTGCTTTTCTTATTTTTCTGTTGGTCCATCAGAGTAAAAGACATCTTTTTACTGCCAGATTTTTGGTATATTTTTTAAAATCAATAAATAATAATCAATAACAGGGACTTTCCTGGCGGTCCAGTGGTAAAGAGTCCGCCTTTCAATGCTGGGGACACGGGTTTGATCCCTGGTCAGGGAACTGAGTTCCCACATGCCGCGGGGCAACTAAGCCCACGTGCCACAACTGCTGAGCTCATGTGCCTCAACTAGAGAGTCTGCGTGCCTCAAACTACAGAGCCCACGTGCCCTGGAGCCCGCGTGCCACAACTACAGAGCCCATGTGCCCTGGAGCCTGCGCACCACAGCTAGAGAAGAGAAAACCCGCACACCACAACTAGAGAGAAGCCCGCACACCGCAACGAAAGATCCCGCGTGCCGCAACTAAGACCCAACACAGCCAAAAATAAAATAAATAAATAATCTTTAAAAAAATAATAGTAAAAAATAACAAAGGTTAAAAATCAAAAATACAGTGTTACGTAAAATTAACTGTAAAAAATGTTCCTTTGATAACAAAGATTACTGTTGTTTTAAAGTCTTTTGTTTCTATTTCTAAAGTCACGTTTTTATTAGTGTGTTTTTGGCAGAAATAGTTTGCCCCTTAATGGAAGATACTGATGATTAGTGAGAGCAAAATATGTGTTAGCAAACTGCCTTATTTCTTCTAGTGTGTTTTACCTTCCCTGTCTGGCAAACTGCTAGTAGTTCTGGAAGACTCATCTCAGACATCTCCTCCCTTACGCAGCTTTCCCTTTTAGCCCCTTGATCACATATAGAATCTCTTTTCTCCTTTCTTTTGTGGTTTAGTTTAAGCTTCTATTATACACTTTTACAGTGTATTAGAATTAATTGTTCATGTACCTTTTTCAATTCTCTTGAGACTGGGAACCAGGATTTACTTGGTATGGTCATATTCTGTGAAAGGGATCAGCATTAGTAAATGATGGGGGAATATACATCATAAGAGAACTTTCCCAGATAGAAACTCACTGGCCACAGACACGATCTTATTTATAATTTTCTGTACATC